GCCTATCCTGCTGCTCGCTTCCTCTAGAGCTTTGTTTGTGAGGCCATGGGCCAGAGTGACAGCCCCAGCCTGGGTCAGTTCCTGGATACTTAGCCCAGCTGTACCGCTAGGAAGTGACGCCTCATCCGGTGAGTGTTCGCGGCAATGCCCTGAACACTTCGGGCGATGCATAGCAGGATGGTCATTGAGCTGGTCTTTTTGCATGGACCACTGACTCGATTATCAAATTCCAGGCCTTTTTGTATTGCTGGCACCCGCTCTCTAGTAGTAGGACAGGGATCGGTTAGGCGTTGAGCCCTTGGCCACTTGTGGCCTTTTGTTAGTTTTTTTCTTTTTATTTTTGGACATGCTTGTGTTGTTGCCCAATAGGCTTAGTTTTTTTTTCTGGCCCATGACCTAATTGTATTTAGAGAAAGTTTGTTTCGTGCATGGAGTGTAATTCCCGTAGACAGCGGTTAGTATTAAGTTTCCGGTACTCCCTCTGTTCAATATCATAAGATGTTTCAACTTTTTTTCTAGTTTGGATGTATATAGATGTATTTTAGTGTGTTTGTTCACTCATTTCGATCACTATAAACATTTCATATTTGTGAGTGCAGGGAGTAGTACAATCAAGATGATTTGTTCCTCGACAGCTCTCGGATGATAGTTGGACCAAGCAAGCAAGGAATGGACATGTTACGGTATACGTTGGCTGGCTCGTTGACCCGTCCAACACTCACACATGTCGGCACCCCTCTCCGCACATGAATAGCACATGAAACATGCATGCATGTTCTACCTACAACATGGTACCTGCAGAGGCGTTGAGTATAAACTGTATGATGTATTCTACGCCCCTACGTCGGCCGAAGGTGGTTGCAACTAGATGCATTTTTCATTGGAAAAGTCCGAAGTGGAAGATGCGAGTACGCCATCGCTTTCTCGTTTACGTCTCCTGCCTGCCTAGCAGGCATGCATGCACGGCAGGGTTCTATTCGGCCGCCCAGTGGCGGCTAAATTTCGTGTTTTGACCCTTTTTCGATACCTATTCGAGATCTAACCCTAGTTTAAATTTTTTTCGAGATCTGACCCTTTTGCTACCGCCAGGGTCCATGGCGGTAGGGTATAACTGCCTACCGCCAAGGTACCTGGCGGTAGGATTGCATGTCCTACCGCAAAATTTTGCTAAGTATTGAACACAGTGCGTGCTCGTGCCTAACGCCAAGCATCTTGGCGGTAGGGATGTTTTCTACCGCCAAGGTCCCTGGCGGTAGGCTGTTACACCCTACTGTCATGGACCCTGGCGGTAGCAAAAGGGCCATATCTCGAAAAAAATTCAAACTAGGGTCAGATCTCGAATAGGTATCAGAAAAGGGTCAAAACATGAAATTTTGCCCCCGGTGGCTTTGCCTATGACGTGACATGCTTGTCACACGTTGTGGTGCTTTCAACAAACCAAGCAGAACACAGTTGAATGTGTGCACTCGGTTTAATTTTCATCATATATCCAAGAATTGGGCTGCAGGGCACTACTTTGCAGTAGGTGGTCATTGTCCATGTACATACTTTCTCCTCTCCGGCTATGTTGCCTGATTTCTGTTTATGCACTGCCAGCCGTGAGTTGCGACCTACTCCCTCCGTCCCACAATATAGAGAAAGTTTGGGTTCCCATCAAAACCTCTCTATTGGCCACAAATATATAGCAGCAACCAGTGGCGGAGCTACAAACTAAGAGCAGGGCGGGCCAATCTGAAGAACACCACCCAAAAAATTCAGAAATAGCCCAGTCATGCTCACACTTTGCATTGTTTTCGTTCTAAGCTGAGCGGGCCATGGCACTGTTTTGCCCCTACATAGCTCCGCCACTGGCAGCAACCAAATATATACATACGGAAGGAACAAAATGTCCAAGAATTTGCATCAATACATCCTAGAATTGGACTGCAGGGCACTACTTTGCAGTAGGTGGTCATTGTCCATGAGCAATGCAAAATCGGTGAGGTCATCCTCCTTACCTGGAACCGTCTCTCTCATAGAAGTACACCTTAGAAAAACATTTTTTTGCTTTGAAGAAAACATACTAAAAACTGTGCATGCATGGTTGCTCCTATTAAAAGAATGGCATTGCCATAAAAGTCTATGAAACTACATGTATGCCTAAGTTTTTAAAAATTAAACAAATAAGTATGTTTTCTTCAAATTTTGAACACACACATAGTACGTCATATGTAAATATGTAAAAACAATTGTACATCAAGGATCAAAGGGTGGGCAATTGAGTTTATGATTCGGGCACTTGTGCATTTTGAAAATTTCTCCAAATGTTCATGGATGTGCACCATGTTCAAGAACAGGCACTTGCAAAATCCATGCAAAATATGATCAAACAGAATTAATGATTGGAAATCCATTAAGTATGCATGGGTCTTTTATTCATGAAGAAGGAATTATAATGGACTGGCCATGCCACTAGGCCATCACTAATATGCATGGAGCGTGTTTTTTTCCAGTAGGAGTTCACTTATTATGTGAAAAGGAAAATTATTGACATGGCCTAAAGCCATGTGGAAGAAAAATCTACAAAGTCCAGAACTATCTTTTTCATTAGTGATAATGATATTTTCAGGCAAATAATTTTATAGGTTCAGTGATCTGTCGGTGTGGTACGGTTGATCGGTCCTTTTTTAAGAAAGGGTACACCAAAAAAAAGTCTCAGTTTAGTGAGCCAAATTCAGTCAAATTAGGAGGTGAGAAATCTACTTGACTCAAACATTAGTGTGATTTGATTTCTCTTGACAACATAAATCACCCTCAATAGATTGATAATAAATGAGTTGGTTTACAAATAGTACAAAAAAATAAAGAGAAAGAAAAGGAAGTGTGTGCCTGCAAGAAAAGCATATTGCACTTTGTAGGTTTTGGGATTAGGCTGGAGGTGGGCCTTGGATGGCATCCCAGACAACTCTTGACCTAGTTCTCTACTGAAACATCCAAATTCTTTCAATAAAATATTGCACAGGTTTGACCTAGTTGCATCAAGCCATCAACCATCTCAATTTCATCTTCAATCAATGAAGGGATGTAACATGACCTCGCCTTTCTTCCATCTTTCTCTCCGATGCCATCCAATGCCCTACTCAATAATGATCCAAACTGCTCCTATAGCGGCTAGCCCAAACAAGGCATGACCCAGTATTAACATTATTAGTTTAATCTGCAGCGCGAAGAAAGTTTGATCTGAAAGAACTTTCTGCTTACCTTGGATTATGTAGTTGTGCAACTAGATACAACTACAAAAACTGTACAACTAGATACTGCACTATAAATTTATGTTTGAAGATTTGAATCAAAATTGTATATGTTTTTGTTCCCGGCACAAACATATTGCATGTTTGTATCCACATTTCAAATATTACATTATTGCGGTATTCATCCAGTTAGTAACATACTAATGTGATTATTTAATTTTCATTTGGATTGATGCAATAAGGAAAGCATACTCCATAGTCTCTAAGAGAATACTCCACGTTGTGAACACAAAATTGGAATACACAATCAATTAAATACCACTGTCGTGTCTTTTCTTAATTCATATTGCATGTTAAATTATTGTATTCATTTTTTTAATTTGTGCAGTGTCTATATTAACCGTGGGTTTTTTACTAATAGACTATTACTCCCACCTTCCAAGAGATAATACTAGCATCATTTGTGGATCTAAGAGCATCTCCAACAAGTCCCCTTAAAAACTTTCCCTAAAAGTTGTTTTGGCAGTGGTGGGAGGGCGGCGGCGGTGGACAACGGGCAGGTGGGTGGCGTCGCAATGGGTATGGCAGCAACATGCTCGCGTGGGATTGTAAGGGGAAGATCTACGGAAAGAGTTATTTTCCCCCTAGATGAGGGGGGAGGGGGGGTGGCTTTTTATATGGGTCCCTAAAAAAAATTGGTTCAGGGAACATAGGGAATGCCCTCAAGGCCTACATGACAAATCCTACAAAGTCGCCATGACAACTTTAGTTGATACGAAAACGACAAGTTTGGGTGTACGCTGGGAAGACACTCCCAGCGAATGTTTCCCTTATAACGTTTTCCAAATAATTCAGAACCTGTTGGAACATTTTCTGGCCCAACTCTGTATAAATCAGTTTTTATACGGGGAAAGAAAATTAACTGTTCATGTTACTTGGGCTGTCTTAAATTTTCTTTCTTTTTATTAGGAGAGATTGTTGATGATGTCACCATAATCAAGAATTCGTGTTGCTCCCTGGATGGATCAGTGGAACACATATATACTTGCTGTATAAACCTTTTGATCAGCTCATCCACAAAAAAATATGTAAATTAATAGGAATAAATTAGAAGAAATGGAACAGCTCTATGCTAGTGCGTATGAGCAACCAATGTGTGTAGGCTGCAAGATTGATCGGAGGGAGCGTCTACTCTCTGAGCATGGCCATGGCCTTGAGGAGCACGGGCTCGAACCGCTGGAGGTCGAGCTTCACGTCCTGCTTGCCGAGGTAGTATTCCGCCACCTTGCTCCACCCGCTGCGGTGGATCGACTCCGGGTCCTTGACCGCCGGGTGGTCGCGCCCCAGCGTGTCCACCAGCGTGCTCTCCTCCATGCCGCATGAGTAGGCCATGTACTTGAGCCCCATGTCCACCGCCGGCGTCCCGAAGTCCACCTCCCCGATGTGCTCCATCTTGCCGAACGGGTTCACCTGGATGAACACCGCCCCCGTCGGCAGGAAGAGCGAGTTGGTGAGCCCGGCGCCGTGCACCCCCATGAGCACGTCGGCGGCGTTCACCTCCCGCGCGAAGTCGCCCACGTCCACGTTGAACGGCGGGTCCCCGATCACCACCTCGAACCCGATCCGCTTGGCCAGCGCCACCACCTCCGCCACGTTCACCAGCTTCCTCGGGTGGCGCCGGGAGATGATCATCATCCTCGGCTTCTTGTCGCTTATAAGCCCGGCGGTGACCCGCATGGGCGCGGCGCGCGGGAGCGCGAAGACGTTGCGGAGGAACTTGGTGAACTCCGGCATGGAGTGGCCCGTGGGCTCCTTGGCCGGGTCGATGCTGAACTCCTTGTGCATGCGGATGCCGACGATGGCGGACGGGAAGCAGCGCACCTGGTCGTCCTTGTCCATGTCCACCACGTCGTACCGCGAGAGGCGGGCGATGATGTGGCGGTACTTGCCGGCGTACCATGGCTGGATGTTGGTGACCACGAGCTGCACCTCGCCGTCGTAGCGGGAGGCCTGGAGGTAGAGCGGGATCATGACGTCGCTGAAGTCGTGCCAGTAGTTGCCCGTGAGGCCGCCCATGGCGAATACGAGCGCGGGGACCTGCGAGGTGACGGCGCAGCGGGGCGCGTCGGCCGCCGTGGGCAGCTCGCGCACGGTGATCTCCTTGATGCCGGACATGTGCTTCCGGGAGTAGGGCAGCACGCGCCACTCCTGCGGGTTGGGGTTGCTGCCGCCGGACTCGATGGTGGGCGGGACGAGCACCGTATGCGTGGAGCCGTGGATGCGCACGCCGCCGCTGCCGCCGGCGAGGTCGCAGACGTCGGACGCCCAGGGCCCCTGGATGTCGCACGCCGGCTTCTTCGCCGGCGCGCTCTCCTCCGCCGTCGTCACGATCTTGGTAGCGTCATCTGCATGGATAAGCATCAAACTATCATTACTTCATCATTTTTCCATTCAGTTCAGGTTCAGTGGAATTCTGACGGAGCAAAGTTTGCACCGGCAGACACGTCCCCGGCTCCAAAAGCTCTTTCTTTAGATTGATTGGCCGGAGATCCAATCGAAACTGTCGACTTTTCTCTTGACATCGATGTATTTGGAAGAGGTTAGCAACTACGTACCGATGGGTTTCTGGTCCTCCTCTGTCTCTGAGTGGGGCTCCTCTGTTTCTGTGTGGGGCTCCTCGTCGACAGGCGGTGGCTTCTCTTGTACTTGTTCATGCTCCGGCAGAGGTGCTTCCTCCTCTGTTCCATGCAACACAACACAACACATACATGGTCAGAACAAGAAAATCCGGCTGAATTTCGTTCATCAGGAGAACGGCCGGGGAGCTGGTTTACTTACTTTTGACGGGGAGCTGCTGCTGCTGCTGCACCGTCTTCTCTGCCACGGCCGGGGCGGTCGGCGTCGGGTGCGCCGCTGAGGTCCTTCGGATAGCTGCAATTTTAAGCCAAATTCTCATCAGTTTCAGTTTCAGGTTGGTGACCGGTGCCCTGACTATGTCCTTAAATTCAGATAACCAAGAACAGGCAAGAACATGTCCATACTTTGACCAAGTCTTGCGTTCATAAACATTCAAAAGTTGTTCAAATAAAGGACAACAAAACTAACACAGCAATTCTTTGGGCCTAAACAAATCGCAGCTTTTGAGGTGAATCACAGATGCTTGCTTGTCCCGATAAAGCATGCAGCAAGGAGAACAAAAATAAATTTTGCTCAAAAAAAAAAAGGTGAACACAATGAAATGAACCCATGGAAAAGCAAGTGAGAATTCAGGCGGGCGAGACGCACCGTTGGGCGCGGCGATGGCGAACTGCTCGGAGAGGGTGAAGTAGGTGAGGAGGACGAGGAAGAAGCCGAGGAAGAAGCCGACGCCGACGTACTTCTGCGCCGCGCCCCGCAGGCTCTTCACCAGCTTGGCGCCATGGTCGTCCCCCATCGATCTATCTCTCCCCCTATCTTCTTCTTCCTCCTCCTCCCGTGAGTGAACCTTTTCTCTTTCTCTTTCTCGTGTATGTATGCGCGTGTGCAGGTGTCCTAGCTAGCTAGCTAGCTAAAGAAGGTAACGGTGATGGCGCCAACTACTCCCTGACGCGGGAGAACCTTCCAAGAACACCTCCACACGGACCAGTTCGCCCTCTCTTTGTGAGGAATATAATGGACTTTATGGCCGCCCACGTCAGAGCAAAGGAGGAAGACCTTGCCAAATTGCCCAAGCAACTCTCCCTCACCTCCTGATTGCTACGTCTGCAAATTGATTAATTATGCAGTACATATCTTAGCTGTGCTCTCAGTTGTATAACTAGTATGTTACCAATGTTTGATTACTGTAAAAAGAAGTAAGAACAAGTATTGCAGTTAAAAAATCAGAAGTAGGCAGAAAGTTCCTCCAGATCAAACTAAATTGGTAGTAGTATACTGGGGCGATGCCATGTTTTGGCTAGCCATCATGGGAGCGGTTTGGCTCATGATTGAGTAGGGCATGGCCATGGGGGGTGGCATAGGAGAGGGGATGGAAGGAAAACGAGGTCATGTTCCAACCATCCCTAAGGTACTGATTGATTGATTGAATATGGAGGTGAGGTGGTTGATCCAACCAGGTCAAACCCGTGGAATATCTGACTGGAAGAATTTGGATGTTTCAGTCATGAGTTGTCAGGGTGTGTCATCCAGGGCCCACCCCCTGCCTAATTCATAACTTGCAAAGCATTGCAATATGCTTTTCTTGCAGGCACATACTTCCTTTTCTTTCTTCCTCCATTTCCTTTTTCTGCCCATTCTTTTCGTACTATCTGTAGTTCCATTTATCTATACTTTGATGTATTGTGCCCCGCAAAAACAAAATGAGGGTAATTTATTTATGTCATCGTGCGGCCTCAGATATCAAAGTCTTGTTTTAAGTCTAACTTCATTTCACCCCTCTTAATTTGACAGAACTTGGCTCACAAAATCGGGACTTGTTTCTTTCCATGTGTGGAGTACATAACACTGAGAAATTTGGGCCACCTTTTTTTTTCAAATAACACCGCCAGATCGGTCAGTGCATTTGCCAGAAAATATCATTATCACTCATGAAAAAGACCGTTCTAGACTTGGCTTTCCAAGCAAGACTCTGAGGCCATGCCATTTATTTCCCTTTGCCTATGAGAAGAGACCTCCTGCTGCAAAAATGCCTGCCCCATGCATATTAGTTATGGCCTAGTAGCATTTCCAGTTCATTATAATTCATTTTTCATGAATTAAGTTCTCATGCATACTTGATGGATTTCCAGTAGATTAATTTTAGTTGGATCATAGTATGCATGAATTTTGCTGGTGCTCATGTTTGAACATGGTCACCTCCATGAACATTTTGAGAACTTCTCAAAATGCACAAGTACCTATGCCCTAAACTCAAGTACCCACCCTTGATGTCCATTTGCTTCTAGACATTTACATACTGAAGTGTTCTGTGTTTTTAAAATTATATGTTGAAACGATATACATATTTGATAAATTTTAGAAAAACTTGGTACACATGTAGTTTTATGAACATTTGCCTCTTGTTTTTCATAAGTTGTACTTGTATGACAGGAAAACATCGTCATTCTTTCTTTTTTTAAGGAAAAAATGTCATCATTCAGTGCATGAGAGAGACGGTTCCAAGTAAGATGGACGACAGGCGCAACGTCACCGACTTCCCATTGCACATGGACAGTGAGTTGTGACCACCTACTGCAAAGCACTGCCCTGCACTCCAATCCTTGGACATATCGATGCAAAAATTCGGTCTATGTAGTCTCACTCGTGCATGTTTATTGGTACTTCCCCTCCGTATGTATGCACATATTTGTGGCCAATGGAGAGGTTTGGACGATGGGAATCCAAACTTTCTCCTACCTTACCTTACCCCAGCATCCTCGGCACATGCTAGCCCTCGATTTGCACATGCATGCAGCTAATCAGATTCTGATTTCTGATGCTGCTTTTGAATTTCTTTAGAAGGATCCATGTTGCCCGGCCGAGTTATTTGTGAGTTGTAACCCATCGATGAGCCAAAATTAAACCGACTGCACACCTTTAATTAATATAATTGGACACGTAGCGCTCTGCTGGGTTTGTTGAAAGCACCATGGCATGTGACAAGCTTGTGGCCACATCCATCACAGGCCAAGCCAAGCCACCGGGCGGTTTTGGATGGAACCCTGCCGTGCATGACTGGCTGCTAGCTAGTTAGGCAGCCGGACCGCCGGAGACGTAAACGAGAGAGCGATGGCGTACTCACACCTTCCACTTGGGACTTTTCCATTGACAAGTACGGCCAGTTGCAATCATCTTTGGCCGACGTACTGGGCGCATGGAGCTATGCCTAACTAAAAAAAACTCGGAAATGCAGGTGGAGAATACATGTATAATACGCCTAGCTAGCTAGGTAATTTATACTCAACGCGTATATATGTACTGGTGTGTTGTAGGTAGAACATGCATATCATATGCACGCATGTGCAAAGGAGCGCCGACGTGGGGCGCATGTGTGCGTGTTGAATGGTCAGCGCGATCAGCCTGCAGCCGAAGCGTAACGTGGGCTGCTAGTTCATTGCTTGGTTCCAATTATCAATCCAGAGCTGTTGATTAACAATTTCTCTCGGTTACTACCTTTTCAAGGGAGATATACTGGAAATTTAGTAACCGTTAATCCTACATGAATTAATCACTCTGTTCTCATTTTAAAAAATCGATGAAAAGATACGCAAATTTTACGTATTCCTGAGGGAAAAAAATCACTCTATCCTATACCCGGAGTCTTTGTTCTCCTCCCTTCTTCTGCATTAATCACATGCAACTGCATCTCTTGCATGGTTCGAACAAAACCACTTTGTTCAATGATATAAGACATATTATTTTATATAAAAAACAACATTTCCTAAGTTTAACCTGGGGAAAAAGTATGACTATCTATAGTAACAGATCAGGACCATATATCCATCCTCTAAAAAAAGGAACCATATATCCATCATGAAATATACTTTTATAGTATTTATTTATTTGTTGTCATAGATGTTGCTTCCTATCAGGGGCGGAGCCAGAAATTTTGGCCGATGGGTTCATTCATTGACTTATTGTGAGGATTTATCATCAACTAATTTTGTTAAGTCTAGTTTTACACCGCCTTATATAAAGAAAATAGAAGTCTCTTTAAAAATAATAATACTAAAAATTCATAATAGACAGAAGAATGATATCACTTATCATAGATAGTTATTACATCAAAACTAAAGAAAGCAAGACATACCTGCTAGATAAAATTGTAAAAATCACCTGTTTAGAAATAGAGCAGTACCAAAATAACTTAATAGCTTCATGTGCAGATTGCCATCCTTCTAAAAACATGGAAAAAATGAAAAATTAGTTCGACCAGCTTAAAATAAGTAACATAAAACAAAATAATCATATAGAGTCACTCACATTTTAGAGTGCCCCTTTTCAATCTGTCACCAATAAACATATTAGCTCTCTCTGAATAGAAAATTAGACTATGGCTCATAAACTGATCTCCAATTTTATTGCGCAACGTTTTCTTGACAACATTCATAGTGAAAAGTATCTCTTAGACAGATGTTGCGGCAACTGATAATACCAGTACTATCTTTAGAAATTGAGAGAACACAGGTCTCCCTGTTAAATATCTTCACCTAATCTTGTCTCGCTTCTTAGAATTTCTTGTGTATTATGAAATTCTCTACCAATTAGCGGAATTATAAGGCAACTCATCCAAATTAATTTCTCTTTGAATAGAAGGCTTTGAAAGACTGTTTGCAGCGACAACATTTGATGCACCTCGCCTGATGGGTGGCCGTGAAATGCATCATCATTTGGATCTGTCGATCCATTTTTTTTTAATTCCATAACCTAGATCAGCCAGTACGTAGAGTATAAACAATTAAAAAATTAGGGTACACATGATAGAGAAGCGACGTGGTGATACGATCTCAGCACCTCGAATATGGAGTTTTGCACAACAATCGCCGGGCGCCGGCGCTGCGGCCGACCTGCCGGTGTCTGACGGCCGATCGAGGGCGAACAGGAGAAATAGACGGAGAGGCGAACAGGAAAGACAAGTCCTGGTTCGTGTACTGCGGCTACGGACCTGCGGTGAAGAATAAAATAGGGGCACCAACAGGCTAGGTACAGACCCAATTTATTATTGGGCTTTTGGGCTTTTTTTATTAGGCTGTTTTCTTGGCGTTGAAACTTAATGGGTTCAACCCTTGTTTTTTATTGGGTTCATAGGAGTATGTACGTACGTACGTGTACTAGACCAGGAAAGATCGTTGGGTTCATCTGAACCCAACGCTAGCATGCTGGCTCCGCCTCTGCTTCCTATACATTTGATCAAATATAGAAAGGTTTGATTATACAGAAAAAAAACACCTTATATTTTACACGGGAGGTAATACTTATATACCGTAAGAAGAGTAGCTTTCTTTTCGCGACGACGTAAGAACAGTGGTTGACTGCAATAATATGTATTTTATTTGTTTCAGAATATAAATTGTACACGCATGTGTTGGATCCTAAAATGGGCAGATGCTCGCCTTAGTTATAAGATTGACGGGGCATATTTGCAACAGCTAGGTTCGTTCGTGCGCATGTTGCATGGATTATTCTGGAAGTAAGTAGTACTCCTCCTGGAGTACTTTACTATAGCTAAATCAACCGTTCAATCATCATCAGCTTTTCAAAGGCGTGGGTTGGCAAGCGGTTGTAGTAGTTGATGCATGTGAGCGACCCAACCTGCTAAAGATCATGCAACGTCCACGTCTGTGCAGGTAGCTTAAGTCGACACATATAAGATGCATACCACACCTCCATGCTGCGATGCGGACCGACACCAAATGAATTAATATTTGAATTTCTATGCATGTATTATATATGTAAAATTTAAGAGCAGTTTTAGCA